GCCGCCGCGTAGGGCTGCGGGTACGCGCCGGCCTTGGGCTCCAGCAGCAGCGGCGCGGCCGCCGCCGCCGGCGCCGGGAACCTCTCGGTGAGCGCCTCCAGCCCGCCGCCCTGCGCGGACACAGAGGGAGAGGAGGCTCCAGGAGGGCTCCCTGCGCCCGGCGATGCCCCCCGACGCTGCCCGGCGGCGCGCCGAGCGCCGGGCCCCTCCGAGGCATCCGCACGGGGGGCTGCACCGGAGCCAGGGGAAAAAATTCCGGCCCGTTGCCCACACGAGGGCCACAGGGATGTGAAAGCATCGTTTTGCTAAGGTTGCAGGAGACCCAGGTCTCTCCTGGCAGAGAGCCAGGGCCGAGGGCTTTCACCCCACCAGGTGTATGACCAGCCGTGGTGGCGAAGGTCCCCGTGGGGACCACCCGGCCGACCACCTCTTAGAATCACAGGATCATTATGGGTGGAAAAGACCTTCAAGATCATCGAGTCCAACCATAAGCTCTCCAGACCCAGGTCCCCACGCGCCCCCTTGGCATGTTTTTGAACACTGCCAGGGACGGGGACTCCACCACTTCCCCAGGCAGCCTTGTCCAAGGCTGGACTACTCTTTCCATGCAGGAATTCTCCTAAGATCTAACCTGAACCTCCCCTGGCGCAACTTGAGGCCATTTCCTCTGGTTCCATCTGTAATTATTCTACCTGTAATTATTACCCCCACCTCACTGCAACCTCGTTTCAGGTGGCTGCGCAGAGCGGGAGGTACCTGCACGAGCTTGTCGATGCCGAGCGCCCGGTCGAGCTCGGCCAGCTCCGTCTCGTCCTTGCCGCTGAGGAAGGACACGAGCTGCTCCAGCAGGGCCTTCTCGTCGTTGCGGCCCTCCGGGGTGGTCGGCGGGCACAGCAGCTCGTCCAGCTGCGACGTGATGCACTGGCTGCGGGGGCAAGGGGACAACGTGAGCGCCGGCGCGGGGAGCGACGGGCCCGGCCTTTTGGGGCAGGAGGGTGGCAGGAGGCAGAGCGGGGCTGGAGGGTGCTGGAGGGCACAGAGGGACGGACGTGTCAGCAGTTTCCCCATCCTCCTCACTTCCAATGAGGAGCGGATGGAGGGCAGGGAGCCCAAGGCAACCTGAGCGGCGAGGTGGCCACCAACACGTGCTGGGATTGCTTAGGTCACAGGACAAGGGTAACGGGTACAAGCTGAACCCCAGGCAGCTCCATGTCCATGTGAGGAAGAACTTCCTTGGTGTGAGGGTGCCCGAGCCCTGGCACAGGCTGCCCAGAGAGGCTGTGGAGGCTCCTTCTCTGGAGATGTCCAACCCGCCTGGATGCCCCCTGTGCCCCGTGCTCTGGGTGTCCCTGCTGGAGCAGGGGTTGTACTGGATGATCCCTGGAGGTCCCTTCCAACCTCAGCCATCCTGGGATTCTGTGATTCTGTGTCACAGAGAGGAGGAGACAGGAGGAGACCCGGGGCTGCTCTTGGGCTGCGCTCGCAGCCTGGCCTTGTCACTTGTGAACGGAGCTTTTCGGTGTCAAGGCCAAAGAAGGGAGTTTGCTGCAGCCACACATCGCCCTGGTGACGGGAAGGTGGAAAAACTCCCCGTTCAGGCGCAGAATAAAAATCCGCCCTGCATTAAGGTGCAGCAAGAGGATAAATTTGGGTTGATGTCACCCTCTGTGCTGAAGACGGCAAGTGGGTGGCAAAGGGACTGGGGACAACGAAGAAACTTGCGGTGGGTCCTTCGCCGCTGTCCCCTCCTGCTGGACCACGCAGAGCGCGGCGGGTGCTGGAGCAGATGTCCTGGCAACCCGGGGCATCTGGGGGGCTCCGGGCAACCGCATCGCCCCGGGGTGGCACGTTCGACCTGGGCGTCTCAGAGCAAAGGAGCTACGGGAGCGACGCAGCACGTGGGCTTCCCTGGAGCTGCGAGGGGGCCACCAAGGAGAGAAGGGGCAAGAGGCGACGCCGGTGCCATCCCAGCCTCGCTGGGGGGTCTCGGTGGGTTTTGCAGCGTGGGGACCGCTGGGACCAGGGCAGCTTCCCTGGCTCAGCACTTGCAGCGTGAGGGAAGGTCGTTTTCCCCCCTCCAGCAGCATTTGGGGAGCACTTGCAGCTCAAAAGGGCCATTGGCTTTTCTCCCGTTGCCGCGTGTGACCCATGGAGCTGATCCCAGCTTTGTGCTCATCCTGCGGGAGCAGCCCAGGCCCAGGAGGACGTTCCCTCCTCGCAAGGAAGCAGGAGGGCTCCACAGGATCCCTGCAATCCCGCTGCAGCCGGAACCCCAGGCCAGCGGGAGCCACCACCTTTTGGAATCTCCACCTGGAAAACGGCCGGGAAGCCGCTTGCTGCTTCCTATGAGCCCGTCACATCCAAGCGATGACGGTGCCCATCGGATGGGCATCAGGGCTGCTCTGGGGACAGGCAGCCGGGGTGACCGCGCCGGCTGTACTTACTCCTCGGGCTTGCTCAGGGCGCCGCGGCTCATGGAGGCCACGCTGTTATCCGACCACGGCATCTGCTCCCCCATTCCCGGCTGTCCGTACTGGTGCTCCGGCACCCCCATTTCCAGCTCGGCCATTCCTGATGGAAAAAGGGCAGGAGAGAAAGCGTCAGCACGGCGGGGAAACCACAGCAGGTACCGGACACCCTTGGGAAAACCAACACATTCCTGGGAATAGCCCCTCCAATCAGCGGACCCCCCGGACGACCGCCTTCCCGGGGATAAACCATGGAAAGGGGAAAAGAGCACTTGAAGATTTAAAATAACAAAAAATCATGAGTTTTTGGAGAACAAGCTCACCCAGCTTGCACGAGGCAGCAAAACTACAGGCAGGAGTTTCTGGGAGAAAACACACGCGGAAACCCCACGGATGCAAGGGCGATTGGAACGCCGATCCCATCGCTGCTGCTCTTTTCTTCCTAATTTTTCTAGCAGCGTGTTCAAAATCCAGCCAAGTTTGGGGGTTTGTTCTGAACGGCCGGTTGTGAGTACTGGAGATTTTGGCTTAAAAACCAGCCCGCGCCCACCGGTCTCTTCTGACTCCATCCCGGAGAAAAGTTAATTTGTGCGGGGAGAAGAGCCAATGCAATTAAATTAAGTTCAGCAGAACTCGGAGCCCGAGCCCAGGACAGGGAGCCAGGGACTTTACATCATCCAAGTTGGAAAAGGACTTGGGATTTAGGATCCAATGGCATTTTGGCTCCAGCAAGCCCCGGAGATGCCCATGGATGGAGACCTGCGGGCCGAGCTCCTGCACGGGGCTTAGCAGGACAGCTGAAAATTCCAATTTTTTTCTTTTCCGAGCTTCCTCCATGGGAGCGGGTGGGTTTAGACCTGGCATTACGGTGCCAGCTGCTGGCATTTCCTTTGGATGCCCTCGCCTTGGAGGCTGTTTTACACGGAGTCACGCTCTGCTGCAGAGCAACCATGTGCCTACGGGGCCCGTATCCCCCTCCTATAGGTTTTGCAATCACTATAGGGGCCTATAGGACCTATAGGGTCTGCATCACCCTCCTATGGGATTCGTCCTACAGGGTCTGTATCCCTGTCCTATAGGAGCTGCATCCCTGTCCTGCAGGTCTGCATCCCTGTCCTACAGAGTCCATATTCCTCTTCTACGGGTTCAGTATCCCTGTCCTATAGGGTCTGTATCCTTCTCTCATAGGGTCTACATCCCTATCCTACAGGGCAGGTATCCTACACGGACTGTATCCCTGTCCTATGGGGTCTGCATCTCTGCCCTATAGTGCCCGCATCCCTCTCCCATCAGGTCTGCATCCCTATCCCACAGGGATGTCCAACAGGGTCCCCATCCCTGTCCCGCGGGGCGCGTATCCCTGTCCTCCCTCACGTCCCGGCTCTTTGCAATGCCAGCGTGGGGCACGTGGAAAATCCCGGTGCCCGAAGCATCGCTGTGGGCCACAGCCAGGCCTGGGAATGGAGAGAGGGACCCCGCGGGCACCGGCATGGGGACGGACAGAGGGACCCCGTGGGCACCCGTATGGGG